ATTGAACACCTCTAGTATTTTGTCTCGAAACCATAAAAAAAAATATTTTTCACATTTCTTTTTTTAATGGGGGAGTAAGATCAATACCGGCCTCTTACTGTATTCCTACATAAATGTCCAGATCAGATCCTTAACAGTTCAGTGCTTTGATTAATCATTGATCTGTGTGGTGAAATGAGTGAAACTTAACATGAAAAGGCAGAAAAAGAACTCAACAAGATACCATGATTCCAGACGTTGTGGGTCCTAATACTATGAAAAAACTGACTTTAGACAAAGACTTCCTCTTTGTTTCAAAAGGTGAAATGACCTGACATCTGATGTACCAGATAATCAATAGTTATTTTATGCTCATCAGTTATTTTACAGATCCTCCTAATAGAACAAATCCCACTGGCTTTCAGACTGCTTTGTTGATCCTGCTATGGATCTTCATGGACCTGTATTAAATTCCCTTGGGTGATGTTATTAAACATTTATTGTTCATTAAATTGCAGCGGTGGAAAAGCTCCGATGACCTGCCTGTAGCACTCTATTAATAGGCTTATTTGTTTTCAATAGACAATGAGATAAAATGAACAAGAATTAAAAGGCCACAATTATCACAGCAAACATGTAATGTTGTGCTTTGAGGTGTGAGGGGTCAGAGTACCAACTAAACGAATAGCGGGAAATGGGGCTCTGCTATTAAGCTGCAAGAAATTTTAGTGTATTTTTATTTTAATACTGTTGTCTTAGACCTTAAGAAAATAGTTTGTCTTGTTCAGAAAAGTAAGCACTGTGTGTGTGGGAAGGAGCAGTCCAGCAGAATAGAAATATTCAGGCTTTAAAAGCCAGTGATGGGGGAATCATTTGAACAGGCCGTTCACTTGTTCAACAACACCACTGAATATGGATCACGTAGACAGTTTCTGAGACTGGAAGTCTGTTTATTTTAAAGACCTTGCCTTTGGTTATGTGTTACATAAGTGTTTTTAATCCCTTCCTTCAGCTAATGGGAAAGGTTTCCTTTAAAAGGAGTAACATTTTCTCTGTAAACAAAACAGGCTATGTATATAAGACCATACACATAATTTCAGTGCCACCTTGTCTGCCATGTTTATACAGAAATTCTGTTTGAGATTTGTACAATGAATCTTATAGTTTGAATAGCACTATTTGAGTTTACATAGCTGTGCAACATTCAAATGTTCGAGATGCAGAAATACATATTTGTGTGGAGACCAGAGTGTGTTTTTTTAGCATTTCAAATGCTCTTATTCAGGCAGTCTGCTGAGCTGTTCTTCGGAAATTGATGCTGTCTGCCTAGTGGCAGCATTAGTGTGGTTTATGTAACCCAGAAACTTGGAAACAAATTCAAATAATTCTGGCATTTAGAAATCAGGCTATTCTAATAACCTACATTAATTTCATATCCATAATTCTTGGTTAATGAATTCAGATTATGAATTAACTCCCTTTTAAGTCCCTCTCCCTGTGACCCATTAGCCTGAGGGGAAGTAGCTGACTATTGTGCAAGTGTTCTGGAATGTTACTCTGTAGCTCCTGCTCTCTCCCCTGCAGCTAATCCAAGGATCATTAATAGAGGAGATCAAGGGAGTTCGTTTCATGTTTCATTCTAAAGCCCATGAACCTTTGTTCCATAACTCACAAAATGAGAAGCTCTAGTGATTGTCTGGAAACATCTTCCCACATTTGTAGTTGGTAATAGTTTTGCAATCTTTTGGTTTGGAAGTGACCCAAATCCAGTTCATGTAATGTGAAGGCTTCCAGTTATTTCAGACGTGCGAGTGAGTTTTAAGGTATGAAGGGGCTGGTCTGTTTCTGCATCCAAACTACTGATCTGAATGGATAGTAACACTGATGCCTGGTGGTGCTTATTCATATGTGAACATATGTGTACAGTAATGCAGTTGAGTTTCTCAGTAAGATGAAACTCCACTGCTTTGCAGACATACAAACTGATAAAGCTGAAATGAGTGATTCAGAAATGTAATTTGTTTTTACAGTGGGATACTGTGTTCCTGAACAAAGATTGTTTGGTTCAAACCTTACATTCGAAGCCTGTTTTTGTTTTTAGTTTTTGCTGTAGTTTTTCATTGAATTTTTTAACCACAGATATCCAGTACATTTTCACCGCCTTCAGCTATGCTTTTTTATTTTCGTCAAGGAATATTTCACACACAAATGGATGCATGCAACGTAACTGTGCAACTAATTCAGCTTTTCTTCTCTAAAACTTGAACTTTATTGCCATATGTAACCGGTACTGGTACAATGGAATTCTTACTTACAGAAAGTCTCTCGATTGTAAAACAAGTGTAAAAAACAAAACAAAGTGCAAACGGTGCATCAAGACAATATACAAACAAACAGTAGACAATGTGCAAGTAAACATGTAGATAGTTTGAATGTAAACAATACAGACGTGTTAACAATGACTGGAGATGTGCAATAGATAAGAAATCATAAAGAGGTAGATGGTGATGGTGTAGGTGTGGTCCGAGGGGGATGGCTAGATGTGTTCACCAATCTCACTGCTTGTGGATAGAAGCTATTGAAAAATCTAGTGGTAAGTGTAATATTGTGTATAATTCAAATATATAATTTTGTTTTTTTGTGGTTTGCGGACATGTATTTGCTTCTTGTATGTTTTGAACCCATACCTTTGTGTTCCTCCTAATCTACATCATTAATTTTTGAAACGGTGGTAACCTGATTTTTCATTTAAGGCATTTCTGCAATCATGTCTGCATTAGCCACATAGAGTCCTTAAATGTAATTTTTAAATGCAGGCTACTGAATAAGAAAAATAAACTAGCACAAAGTTGTGCATTACAGTCTAGTCTCATTAAAACATTTTTACTGTTTCAGTGGGGTGAGTCGCCTGGCGGTAGTGTTGAATATGGGAGATCATGACTTGTTTTCAGAGTAGTGCTCAGCATACCAAACATGGCTGGAGGGCATTGTGCTCTTGTTTCCCAAAAATAACACACAGCCATCTGGGGAGGAGTATAGCTAACAGTGGAGAAACCTTGGCAAAGGGTGGTGCTTAGATCGTTGAGACTTGCAGGAATCTAGGTTAGGGTCTCATTTATTCCTGGTTCTTTTAATCCATATTTAAACTGTCAGAATATTTTCCGGACTGGGGGCCATATAGGACATTGGCCAGTGTAAGTGATTCAACATGAACTGAAGGACAAAACTGGAGATCTAGTAGATGACATGTAATGATAACCATATTGTAAGAAAAACTAAAGATCAGGCCTGGAAAGCCGCATTTACAGAAGAACGTTTGAGTTGCTAAATATGGGTTGATTTACAGTGTTTCAGTTGATTCAGATAAGATACCAGTGGTGTCGAAACATTAGGCCTGCCAAGCTCTTTTCAGTTTAGTTGGTCGAATGCGCTAGTGCAATGACATGCTTTTAGTGCAGTAGCCCATGTGCCAGGTGTTAGTCAGGGACCCGCTGAGGATGCAGTCCATGCCTTGTATGAGCCAGCATTGATGTCACCGGAACAGTTTGCTGGACACTCCACTCAAAGGGCTTTACAGGTAATGGGGGCTCCCTTCCACCACCACCAAAGTGTATCCCCCACCTGGATGATGTGACGGCAGCCATAGTGCACATAGTACGCTCACCGTATACCAGCTCTCAGTGGGGAGGAGAACAGAGTGATGAAGCCAGTTCATAGAGGGGATTATTAGGAGGCCATGATTGGTAAAACCAGTGAGACGTTAGGCCAGATGGTAACTGTTAATTTCATTTTAAAGGATATTTTGTTGTAAAATAAACACTAAAAATGCAGAATACAAATTATTTTATTTGTGCCCAGTACATTGGTAATTTGTGCTCTGTAAGATCCACTTAAAGTACGTTTAAATCTAATCTGGCCCCCACTAGCAAATACGTTTGACACACCAAAAACACTTGTCACTTATAACTCCAAAAAATATCATGTAATTATGGTTTTTGTAGGAGGTGCACTAGCATTTCATGAACAGGTGTGACATAGTACAATTCCTTCTGCTGATCAATATTTGTGATCAACAGGGTTAATCAGCAGGGGTGTGAAGTGAAAGTCCCAGGGTAGTATCATGAGAGCTGCTTTATTTGAGGATACAATGTGCAGGAAAGCGAGAATGATGTCCCAGGGCTTGATCGCTGTAGTTCCAAGCGACCAGGCTGCCACCAATCACTGTAATTGCAGGTCTGTTGCAACATGACATGCCCTGCCCGTCACACTCCTGTGATGCGTTGATCTTGGCGAGTTGTCACACCTCGTAGTGTCCCAGATCGTGGCCTGTCATGACGGAGTGTGTTTGGTTTTAACAGCTTATGAGGTTATAAATTACTGGCTGTGGAACATTCCCGCAATCCCGATTGCATCCTAGGGATGGTTAGCAATAGTGTGCTTAGTCCAGGTTCCAAGATAGGATATGCAACCAGAATGGTAAAAGCTTATTTATTATTTTTCGGTGCTTTTATCTCTTGGTATTCAGCAGACATTCTTCAGGTTATTGAGGAACATTTCATGTGTAGTCTCTCATAAATGTGGTGTGTTAGTGTGTATCCAACAGTGAATTACTCAAGTATAACACGGACATTTATCATTGTCATTTGTCATTTATCAGTCACTGACACCAAACAAATAAAATTCATATCCAAAATCCATTTAATTTCTGTACTAAACATGCGGAGATATTTCATGTAAAGAATAAAGTTACATTTATTTTGATGCTCAGTATACTTTAACCCGATGTCTTTTCTTCTAAAAAGTCAGAAATAGCCTTATGCTTGATTTTTTTTTAGGCTTTTGAGGGTAAAATAAATTTGATTTCTTGTCATTGTTATTTGCAGTGACGTCAGTTTGTGACATATAATTGCCGTTCCTGATTACACTGTTTTTCCAGATTGTTTTCCTGTCTCTGGCCCGTGGGGTTTCGGTCCAGCTTGAGTGGCTCGTGACGCTAAGCCCAGTGCCTTCTCTTTCTCCAGAATCAGTCTATGACCTTCTCCCTAAAGAGCTTCAGCTGCCGTCCTCCACCGAGTGCAACACAGCAGCCATGAGCCAGAAGAGTGGTGGAGAGGCAGGGCCCCCTCCCCCGGCCGCGCTTGCTTCAGGTATGCCCCTCTTTCTCTCTCCGTGTCCTTGCCCTAGCACTCTGGTAGCAGTGAGCAGTGCTGGCAATGGTCCCAGGCCTGTTTACAGGAAGCCCACCTTCTTTAGGCTACCTGCAAGACCTTTCCCCTAGGACATGCATCCTGCAAGCAGAAGACCTAGCAAAGTATTGAAACAAATGGGGGGGGATGAATAAAAGTGGACAGAAAGGGAGATTATTTTTCTTGCCTTCGTATCCCAGCAAAGTTCTACATACTTTGGTAGACCAGACAGAGCCAGGGCTGACGTCTGTGGAATTAGAAATGGGGTTTACTCATCAGGTTTTAACTCATTTACTTTTGCTTTTCTGCTAGTTCTGTCAAACAGCTGTTTTCTACGTTGTCTGTGTTTTTATTCCTTATTTCCTCATAGTGAATCCTTCTGGTACAAAAAACTCTTGATCATATGAGCACCCTGTTTGTGTTCAGCTACAGTATCTGTGCTTTTGTCTAGCTTGTATTGATAAATTGGCGGGAGGATCTACCCTCAGCAAACCAGTATTGCGTTTCTGGTGCACCTTTGAAGTTTCTCTTAGAGGCTTGGCTGAATATGAACAGTGTGGTCTGGTTTTGTGTTCAATTTTTTGTTTTTGACAAAGGTTCAGTGTCTTTATTTTTTTTTTAATAAAAATCTTAACATGCAGAGTATGAGACCTATATTTTTTCTCTCTTGTGATGTTATCATTTGACTTCAGCCTAAAGATTTGAATTTTTAAATAAGTACTGCAGACATTCAGACAATTTGTCATTTGAAAACGAATTAGAGCAGTCAGCTGTTAGTAGACGAGATTGGTAGTTTTAACACAGCAGTTCTCATCTTCTGGAGGAATTAGGAATAACTTTAGTGAAATACCATTTCCCTAGCATGAATTCAGGGAATGTAGTATTTTCTTCCATAATCCCGGAAGTGCTGAAAGATTCTTAGGGTCTTAAGATACTTTCCACTCGACCTTGGTTCCTGTTGGTAACGCAGTGCCTTGCAGTTGGAGTCTAAGGAAAGCCTTTTTTTTATTTTTACACTTGGAATGTTTTTTTTCCTTGGAAGAGTGTACCCCTGTCTTTAGGGATCAGAATTGACTCCCATTTTAACTGTCTCACAACATGAATAAACCTTATAACTACAAATGCCAACAACCTTTTTTTTCCATTTTGGACAAAAAAAAAGAATAAAATAGTCTATTTGACACTTAATTTTAACTTTTTAACTGTCTTGAAACCAAAATACTATTCATTGAATGGCATTATTGCAATTTCTGCAGATCTAATGAAATCTTACCAATTGTAACATACTGTATAAATGTTTAGAAGTTATACTGGCTATGTATAACCTCAGCCAGAGGTGAGACCGTTATAAGATGGGTACAAAACCATTTCGGTACTGCTCACAAAAAGTTTGAGATCAAACCTGAAAAGTCTCTTAAGTGTTTCATTTACATTTATTTTGATTAAGCTGACAGTTGAAACCCATTTGTTTAAAATGTCATGTTTGTATTGCTTTTTCACACAGACATATCATTGACATGCTATTTATGTCTTTTAAAAGATGTGAAAAGGTTGGCATTTTTGGAAGTAACTTAGTTAGGTAAAAACCTAAATAAAGTATTGGATTTTTATCAGATGTTTAAAATTACTGTTAATTGTTTTGTTTTGTTTTTTCAAAAAGAGGAAGATAAAAATTCTTCTCTCACTGTTTTTACATTCACAAATGTCCAGCTCTGAAAGTAGATCTGCAATTGAAATTTGCACTTTTCACTCTGCCCCTTATTGAAGTGTGCAGGTTTAGAGTGAGTTTGAGTAGAACCAGAAGTCTGTTGCCTTTGGACATCAGTACCTAACTGCAGCCATGTGCATCCCTCTACATACTGGCTGTAGCAGATGGAAGGTGAAGTATTTTCAAGCTTAAATGAATTTACTCCGGGACTGCAGGTTTAACTGCAAATTGGCCTTGTCTCTTCTGGCTGTTTCGTCTTGTTTTTACTCCCAAATTCTGGAACTTGAACCAGTTTCCCTTCTGTTTAATTTCTTCTTCTCCTTAGTTTGGTGGCCTAGCTTTTGTTTAAAAGCTTTTGGTGGGACGGTTGGATGTTGGATGAAGTATCCATTTTTCTGTAAAGAAAGGGGGGGAAACCTTTTCTTAAATTTCACCGCATTAGGTCTCATAGGCAGGCTGGTGGGTGGGGGAAACAGGGGAGAAAGACCTTGCTTTTAGCATCTAGGTCCTTCCAAGTCTGACACTGCTTTCCGTAATGAGTATGGTGAGCCTGCCATTCAGCTCCTGTACACTGGCACTATCTGTTGCACATTCACTCTGTCCTCTGTTTCAGACTCCCGGTTTCTTTCAGTTAATTGCATAACTTTCTTCTGAAATGTTGCCTTTGATTTTGAACATGCTACTCACTGTTCATGTGTTTGTGCTTGGTTTTGATATAGCTAGCCAGTTACTGAAGGCTGCCATTCATTGCTTCATTGTGTCTTTGAACAGCATGTAGGCTGCTGCTCACTGTCTGTAGTGTGTGGTCTGTAGTATTATAAACTGTATGGTCTGTTGAGTTACCCACTGCTTTTCTTTCATTTCCCCAGGGCGCTGTCTGCACTTTCTCTGCTTTAACACTGTTCTTATATCTCACACTTTTCTATTCTGCATCTTTGACAGTTCCTCTCTAAGCAATGACCAAAGAATTCTGTACTTTCTGGTTATTCTCTCATGCTGTTCAGAAATCTGTACTTTTACATTTCAGCTAGATATGTTTAAACGTAAATTATTTAGCTTTCTCATTGCCCAGTTTTAATCTTGGAGCATTATTGAGTTCCTTTCAAAGTCTTTAATGAGCATGAATTGTTTATGGAGTTGACTTATGTGAACTCTCTCCTTTGTTTTTTGTGAGGTGGTGCTGTTTTGGTCATTCACATAAAACAAGCAATTGGGCTGAGAGCAGGATGAATAAGGAGGCCGTATGTTGCTCTTGTAGAGTCTCCCATGTAGGTGGTAACAGAGGAGGCACTTAAGTCAGGCTGGTCTGTTTTAGCGGCCACATTCTCAGGATTTCACTGTCTGAACTGAACCTGCTGCAACACAGGTGTTAGTCAGCTTGGCCAGGCCCGGTTCATGACAGAAGCAGGGGCAGAGTTCCTAGAGCAGACTCTCGTGGCCTAGTGCAGCAGAGGTTTGTCCTAGCCTCTTTGCTGGCCTCTGCAGCTAAAACCAGGGCCCCATTACATCCTGTCCTTCCCCTGTGCAGCCATCTCTCCCACCCTTTTTACAGGACCGGGGGTGGCTGGTGTCAGGTAGGGGTGCCAGGAGGGATCAGACTTTTAGTTCTGCCAAGAAAGGTTTGTTGCATGAGTTACCAATAGAAACATTTCTTTGCAAGGTCCAAATTTAAGCAGTAATCTAACCTTATTCAAATTCAAGAATGAGCAATAAAATAAAACATGCCACGGTAAAAGAGAGTATATATTTAAATATGAAGTCTTTTTTGATTGAAAATGTTTGTAAATGCCAAGGTTTAATTGATTTTTTGTCTTCTTGACAAAGATTAACTTTGAGCTTTTTTACAATGCACAAAGTGACTTGACTTGCTTTCTTTTGCTGGAATGCCAGTTGTTTTTGCTATTAATATACTTGACTTGCATTCTAGCTCCACCTTTCAGAAACAGGCATCGTGGTGGGTTGAGTGACAGTGTCTGTCTATCAGTAGTGAAGACATTTAGTGCCAGAGACACTTAACCCATCAAATCTCACCCAGGGTACTGTGTAGGTCGGTCTAACTTTTAGACTTTCTCGTTTTTGATTTGTTTTAATTTTATTTTCATTTTTATTTTTTATTAGTACTTTTATTTCCCAAAGCTTATTGGAACGTCTCCCAGAGCAATATGGAACACAGTGTTTGATGCTTGGGCTGTGACACAAGCAGCTTAACTGCTGACAGGAACAGAGTAGCTGAATTCGGGAAGGATCGCTGTCCCACAGATGAAAGCAAAGGCTGCTGGAGATGAAGATCTGGAGACCCCCAACAGTGCAGATAGAGGCTAGGGCAGCGAATCAGAGCCCTGGAGATATATAAATGAGAAGGGAAGGGTGCAGTACAACAGAACAACATTGGGTAGAGTTGTAGAAATATGTTATATTTAACCAAATCCTCATTAATGCTGGGATATTTTTGCTTGGGTTGCCTGGTGGTGGATTCTGGTAGTAGGCAGCGCCTAGAGGGGGTTCAGTCAGTCAGTCTGTTTACAGAAGACCTTTTTTCTTCACACTGTCGGAAGCCAGCATCACGAGCCCTTGCAACCTGTTGCTTGCGTCTGCTGGGACACTGGAAATGCCCGACAGGCTTTGTTCAAATACTGGTGTTGGTAAATGTCTAATAAGTCAACAGCCCATTAAAAGTTAGGGAAGTGGTTTGCAGCCTCTTTGAGCTTTGCCTTTTTTTCTGGTTTGAATGTATTCACAAACTAAAAGTGTAGTGAAGCAATTTAGGTTGCCATGATTTACAGTTTTTTATGTAAACAAACAGGCAGATTGTCCAAAGATGCACTTGAACATTTTTTGGTTCTCTTTACACAGTGAATTTCATATCCAAATTCCTAACTGATTTTTAACAAATTGATTAATTTAATCCTTTTAATCCCCACTTCCATTCAGTTATCACATAATGTTGCTACATTTTGTTTGTGACATTTAAAAAAAATGGAGTATTGCATGGATATTTTCAGGATTCACAGCTGTGAGCGAGAGAGTTCCCATTACTTTGATTATTGCTTCAGTGGTATCTGTTGGGCTAACTGCTTTTTACTGCTTTTCTTGCTCAGACAACAGCAATTAGACTTTGCCCTTTCATTCTCTGCCTGTTTCTTGCTGTGGCTTTCTGTGCACTAATAGGTGTTGGGTAACTCACTCTCTTCCAGGAGCCAAGGAAAGATAAAAAAATGATCTGATCTTTCTTAAAATGTATTATAAGCAAGTC